ATCATTCCAGAGGTTGAGAAATCCAAGATCCAGGCTCCGGTAGATAGATTCAGGTTATGGGAAGGGCCCACTTTCTGGTTCAGAGATGGTAAATTTTGGCTTTGTCCTTACACTGATGAATAGAAGCAGCAGCTCTCTGGGCTTTTAAATTTTTAGTTTAATTTAATTTTATTTCATTTTTACAAGGGCTCTGCCGTCTTGATCTATTCACCTCCCAAAGACCTCACCTAATACTGATATTGGTGATTAGGTTTTAACATTTGATTTTTTAGGGGGAAAAAGATGTGAATATTCTATCCATTATGCAGTTCCAATCCATAGGTTTCCTACTGAAGATTTCCCTCCTGCTCCAGGGAGTACAGTGTTTTGTTCTGTTCATGCCTTCAACTGATTGGATAAAGCCAACCCACATTATGGAGGGAGGGCAATTTGCTTTATTCAAAGTGTACCCTTTTAAATGTTAAACTCATCTAAAAGAAACCTCACAGAAATACCCATGTTTGACCATACATGGGGTGTCATGGTCCAACCAAACTGACACATAAAATTAACCATCACAGTTAGCTATTGTTATAATCTATACTTTACAAAAAGGGTTCTATCCTCAGCACCACATATGAATAAATAAAGGTGTATATATATATGGATGGATAGATACATACATACATACATACTACAGCTACTAAGTGTTGAGTCAAGATTATTGCCAGGGCTTTCTGGCTCCAGAGTGTACCCTTTAGGTGATTCCTGTGAGCTTCAGCAGAGAGTTTGAGGAAGCAGAAGGACACCTAGCCAAAGGATTTTCAAAGCAAAAAAGCTGATCTGTAAATAGTGAGCATGCCTTTAGAACAATAAATGCTAGTATTAGAATAAAAGAAAGTCCTTAAATCATCAACAACTTCAGCTTTTTCCTTAAGAAATGAAAGAACAAAGATAAAATTAAACCCAAAATAAGCAAAATAAAGGAAATAATAAATATTGAGTGTAAACCAGTGAAATAGAAATAACAATAGAGGAAAAAAATCAGTGCCATCAAAGCTTGAACTTTGAGAAAAATCAATAAAATTGATAAACCTCTACCCAGGCTTAACAACAACAACCAAAAAAGATGATATAAAGATGAAGTGATAAAATTACAAACTGTACATGAATTAAGCATAAGGGAGAGCTGGGCACAGTGGCACATGCCTGTAATCCCAAGCAGCCTAGGAGGCTGAGGCAAGAGGATCTCAAGTTCAAAGTCAGCCTCAGCAACTTAGTGAGTCCCTGAGCAACTTAGCAAGACTGTCTTAAAATAAAAAATGCAAAGGGCTGGGGATGTGGCTCAGCGAATAAGCACCCATGGGTTCAATCCTTGGTGCTCCAAAACCAAACCAAAATAAAACAGAAAAATCTTCCCCCAAAGAAAACTCCAGGCTCATCTGGACTCACTAGTGAAGTACATCAGACATTCAGGGAAGAAATAAACCAATCCTGTCAAGTTCTTGCAGAATACTGAAGAGGAAGGAATATTTTCCAATTCATGTGACTAGGCCAACGTTACTCTGTTACCAAAAGTAGAAGAAAATACTATAAAACAACAACAACAACAATAAAACTACAGGCCTGGTGTGGTGGTGCACACTTGTAATCCTACCAGCAGCATCTTGGGAGGCTGAGGAAGGAGAACCTTGAGTTCAAAGCCAGCTTCAGCGACTTAGCAAGGCCCTAAGCAGCGCCTCAAGAGCCTGTCTCTAGAAATATAAAAAAGGTCTAGGGGGATGTAGCTCTGGAGATGTAGCTCAGTTGGTAGAGTTCTTGCCTTGCATGCACCAGGCCCTGGGTTCAATCCCCAGCACCACAAAAAAAAAAAAAAAAAAAAAATGAAGATGTCGCTCAGTGGTTAAGCACTTCTGGTTTCAATCCTCAGTACTAAAAAGAAAAGAGAAAAAGAAAAATCTAAGACCAATATCTGTCATGAAAATAAATGCAAAATTCTGAACAAAATTTAGAAAACTGAATCAATGTACAAAAAAGATCATAACCAAGTAGAATTTATATGAATAATACAAGATTGGTTTAACATTTGAAAAAATCTGTATAATTCATCATTAATAAACTATAAAAAGGGTAATAATCTGCATAGATGCAGATTCAGCATTTGATAAACATTCATTTCTAATAAAAACAAATTTCATCAGGCTAGAAAAAGAGGAAACTTGCTGGGGAACTTCCTCAAGATTGATAAATTACATCTATAAAAAATACTATATTCAGGGTTGGGGTTGTGGTTCAGTGGTGGAGTGCTAACCTAGCATGTGTGAGGTACTGGATTCAATTCTCAGCCCTGCACATAAATAAATAAAGGTCCATTGAGAACTAAAAAATATTTTAAAAATACTGTATTCATAGTTCTCATAATGGTTTATGTAGAAAATACTACGGATTCTAGGATTCTACAAAAAAAGTAATATAATTAATAAGTACAATTAGCAAGACTGCAAGATAAAGCATTAACGTAAGAAAAATCAATTGTATTCTATATATTAACAACAATTAGAAAATACACCATTCATATTAGATCCAAGAAAGATGCACAAGGCATATATATATTATGCCAGTCATTCTTTTCTTAGGTAAGAATCTAAAAGAAACGGAAGCAAAAGTTTACAAGTCTTCCTCACATACTTTACTAGTTCATAGCAGCTTTATTTCTGAGACCAGTCTTGAAAATCAGGCTCAGGTCCTTGTTCCCCTAGTGTTGAGGATTAAACACCTGAGAAACACTGAGGCAAACATAGAAAGCAAATCTTATTTAAAATACAGAACAAAGAAGGGTGGGGGATGGCAGGGAGGGAGAGAGAGAGAGTAGACCCCAAGGGAGAGAACTAGGGACTCAGAGCTGATGCCTATGGGAGGGAGTGTGTCTTGCCCCTTTATAGATTTTAGGTTTCTGTTTTTCAAGCCCTCTTCTCTTACCTTGCCTGCTGTGACCAAAAGCAGGAAAACAGCTGCCCAGAGGGTAATCACTTGTTTTGGAAAGTGGATCCTTTCCCCTCTGCTGGAGGTGTTAGCAAGGATGGATGAGGAAGGCTATCTATCCATGTCCTTTTTTTGATAATCAGCTACCTGTCATTTGCCCTGGCTCATTTCTATTAACCGAATAACTGGAAACCAAAAGGTCCAATATTGCTGAGTATATTTACACCAATTGTATAAATATACTCAGCAATAAAAAGGAAGGAATTACTGACACATACAACAACGTGGAAGAGTCTCAACCCTGCTGACTGAAATAAGGTAGATAAAAAAATAGTGTATGCTGTTTGATTCCATTTATATACTATTCTAGAAGGTGCAAACCAATCTGGTGACAGAAAGCTGATCAGAGAATGAAGCAGTGTGGCACAGGTGAAGCCAGAATTAGACAGGCAGTCAGTACTGATAGGCAAATAGAGTCAGGTTGGATCATGGAGGCCAATTTTGAGTGAGTCCATCAAGTCCGGAGACTGTCCTCTGAAGGATTGAAATGTTAATTATTTCAGAGCTCTACCTCCACCCTTATCAAAAACCTGCCCCTGCTCCAGCCTGTTGCCAGGGTAACCTGTCTCAGGCATTGCCCCTCTCTACAGGGAGTCATAGCTTGTTAATTAATGTGTCCTGGGCTGCTCTGTCTTGCACTTCCCCTTTCAGCCCACCTGTTTTCCACCTTTTTGGCCACCCCACTGTGCAGCATTTCCTGGGCCTAGTCACATAGGCAGGAAGGAGAGGGATAAGGGGAAAGGGCCAGAGAACAAAGGATGTTTAAGACATAAAAAGGGCAGAACACCTTGCTTCTTGGGATACCAGGATACTAGCCATAGCCCCCTTCTCCCTCTCAGAAGTCTATGTTACCCTTTTAAAACAAACCCTGCTTTATATGCTTGCCTCTGGGCTTCTCTAATGTTCAAACTTCAGCATGTGAGGAAACAGAACTCCTCACCAATAACTCGCGGTATCATAGGGAGGGATAAGAAAGAGTCAAGAAACTTTTTTTTTTTTTTTTTTTTTGGTACCGGGCATTGAACCATTAAGCCACATCGTCAGCCTATGCATATATATATATATATATATTTTTTTTTAGACACAGGGTCTGAATTGCTTAGGGCCTCGCTAGGTTGCTGAAGATGGCTTTGAACTGGCGATCCTGCTTCAACCTCCGGAGCGGATGGGAACAAGCTTTTGAGGGTGATGGATGTTTATGTGGATTGTTGGAATGGCTTCATGTATGTATACGTGGCAAACCGCAACAATAGTATCGTTTAAAATAACTGATACCGAAAATACACCTCCATAATATTGTTTAAAAATAAATGAGTGTATCAGCCGCGCGCCGGTGGTGCACACCTGTAATCTCAGTGGCTCTGGAGGCTGGGGCAGGAGCCTCAGCAAAAGCGAGGGGCTAAGCAACTCAGTGAGACCCTGTCTCTAAATAAAATACAAAATGGGGCTGGGGATGTGGCTTAGTTGCCGAGTGCCCCCGCGTTCAATCTCCAGTACCAAATAAATAAATAAATAAATGCGTGCGTGAGTCACAATTCATGTTATACACACCTTAATCCTGCAGAATTCATTCTCGCGCTTTTTGGTTGACAAAAATCAGTCCACACAACAATTTTGAAATGCATGGATTGGGTAACATGGACTTCAGGTTTCCCATTTCCCAACAGTTGTCTGGGCGTGGCTCTATCTCAGCTATTAAAGGACCAGAAACATGGACCGTGAGCGCCTTTAACTCCGCAGGGACCTTACGTAAGAACACGCGATCGCTCAGTGCGTGAAACTCCAACCCTCCTTAAAAGTAGTAAAAGCGCGCAATTCCCCTTATGCGAAAGGACCTGAGACACCACATAAGCCGGGGATGCGGCACTAGGAGACCGGGCTAGGAAAGGTGTGGAAGTTAAGATACAGGACACTAGTTCTCCCCTAACTTCCGCCGGAACCATGCAAGTGCGCAGGCGCCCGCAGTGCCCTCACTTTCTCCTCCGGCAGGGCACCCACTACACTTTAGGTCCTGACAGCCTGAGGTCAGCTCCGGCTCCAGGACGCACTTCCGCCCTCACTCGGCTTGGCTGCCCCGCGCCTAAGCAATTCGCGGTAAAGTCTCTGCCGGGGCATGTCCTCAGGGGAGTGGGGTGTGCGGTCTGCATTTCCCCCTCTAGAGGCTGACGGGGCGCGAAAGGTACCTGGTATCAGCCTTCCGCTTGCTGTGCAAGCGCCGCCTTTGCGTTCTGCTGGCCCAGCGCCTCTCGTTGATAAGGTTGAAGGCTGGGTTTGGGCCTGGAACGAGTGTTAGTCCGCTGGGCGACCTCGTGTTGTGACCGAGGCGCTGGACGGAGAGAGTCCGGGAGTTTTGGCCCCGCCCCTTCCGTGCACCGTCCCTGTCCCGCTGGTTTCCGCGCTAACCCGGGCGCCGCGGCCCGCACGGTGTGGTCCTGAGCCGACGGCCTTCTAACGCTGCCTCTCCCCTCCCCGTGCAGCCCTCGGACCATGCCCGCGGGCGTGCCCATGACCACTTACCTGAAAATGTTCGCGGCTAGCCTCCTGGCCATGTTCGCGGGGGCCGAAGTGGTGCACAGGTACTACCGGCCTGACCTGGTGAGTGGCGGAGGGGCCCTCTTTCCCCCTTGCTGGACCACTCCATGCTCCTCACAGCAGCAAAAAGGACCTTAAGCGAAACTGGGATCCCACCTGCCCCAAACCTTAAACCCTGTGATGGCTTCTGGCTGACCCTAGAGCTATGCACGGCCTGTGAGGTCACGTTGTGGTCCACAATGTGGTTCCTACCACTACAGGCCATTCCTCCCTGTTCCCTCTGTTGCAGCCACACTGACTTCCATGCACCTTCTCCAATGCACCCACCTATCCCTACCACAGAGCCTTCTTTTCCTCTCTGATGCTTTTCTTTCAAATCTTGGCGTGATTTCTTTTTCCTTCAAACTTAGATCTCATACCAGCCCCTTGGGAGGCTGAGGCAGAAGGATCGCGAGGCCCTAAGCAACTCAGCGAGACCCTGTCTCTAAATTATAAAGGTGGGCTGGGGCTGGGGCTCAGTGATTAAAGGCTCCTGAGTTCAATCCCCGATAACAACATCTACAATAAAATCTGAAGATCTTTGCTTAAATATCCCCTCCAGCAATGACAGGATTCTTTCGTCCTGTGCTATTCCACTCCGTCCTTTGTTTCCATAGAGCACTTGTTGCAATTTGCAGTTATTTATTCCTTTGTCCGTTTTCTTGTCGTTGCTTGTTCCACTAGAATGCAAATTCTCCAAAGGAACTGTCCATCTGGTTCTCTTTTGAGAGCTTGGAATGTAGCTGATGACCAGCAAAATTTTGTAGAATGAAGAATCAGTGAACATAGGCATACAAAAGAGGGAGAAGTGTGATGTCCATCACATTCCACGATCATTGCTAATCCCCTGCTCCCTCCTTTTCCCTCCCACCCCTCTGCCCTATCTATAATTCGTCTATTCCTCCCATGCTCCCTCTCTGTACCACACTATGAGTCAATCACCTTATATCAGAGAAAACATTCGCCATTTGTGTTTTTGGGATTGGCTAACTTCATTTAGCATTATCTTCTCCAACGCCATCCATTTACCTGCATTTAATCCATTTAATGCTGAGTAATATTCCATTTTGTGTATATGCCACATTTTTAATCCATTCATCTACTGAAGGGCATCTAGGTTGGTTCCACAGTTTAGCTATTGTGAATTGTGCTGCTATAAACATTGATGTGGCTGTGTCCCTGTAATATGCTGTTTTCAAGTCCTTTGGGTATAGACTGAGGAGAGGGATAGCTGGGTCAAATGGTGGTTCCATTCCCAGTTTTCCAAGGAATCTCCATACTGCTTTCCATATTGGCTGCACCAATTTGCAGTCCCCCCAGCAATGTATGAGTGTGCCTTTTCCCCACATCCTCGCCAACACTTATTGTTGTTTGTCTTCATAATAGCTGCCATTCTGACTGGAGTCAGATGGTATCTTAGAGTAGTTTTGATTTGCATTTCTCTAATTGCTAGAGATGATGAACATTTTTTCATATATTTGTTGAATATCCTTTTCTGAGAAGTGTCTGTTCATGTCCTTGGCCCATTTATTGATTGGGTTATTTGTTTTTTTGGTATTTAGCTTTTTGAGTTCTTATATACCGTAGAGATTAGTGCTCTATCAGATGTGTGAGGGGGGTCATGTCACTCTTAAAAACTTTCCCATCTGAGTGAAAACTATACTGGGGTCTCCCCTTTTCCCCCCTGCCCTGTCTCCTCCTGTGTTGAACACTTTGTAGCTATTCTAACATCCTTGCTTTTTGTCCAAAATGAAAGCACATCCTGCCTCAAGCCGTCTGCATTTGTGGTTTCATCCTCCTGAAACAGATAACTGCAGGACTGCTTACCTCTTCTTCCTCCATGTCTTTGTTCAACAGTCACCTTCTTGGGGCTGGGGATATAGCTCAGTTGGTAGAGTGCTTGCCTTGCATGCATGCACAAGGCCCTGAGTTCAGTCCCCAGCACCACACACACACCAAAAAAAAAAAAAAAAAGAAGTCACCTTCTTAGCCAATAAGCAAATGAAAAGATGTTCAACATCATTAGCTATCACAGAAATGCAAATCAAAACCACAATGAGAGACCACTTCATAACCACTATAACTATAATGAACAGTAACAGGTGTCTTCAAGGATGTGGAGACATCGGAACCTACGTGCGCTACTGGTGGGAATGTAAATTGGGGTCGGTGCTAAGGAGTTTAAAGACGATGAAAATGTTCTCCAATTTATTGTGATGGACTCACAACTCTGTAAATATACTGCACTAAAAACTATTTTGAATTATACACTTCATGTGTGTTGCTAGGGATTGAACACAGGGCTTCACATATGATCGGTAAGTGCTCTACCACTGAGCTACACCCAAGCCCTGAATTATGCACTTTAAATGGGAGAATGTGCGGTATATAAATTACATCTCAATATAGTTATTACCAAAACAAATAGTCACCTTCTCATGCTTTTCTTGACCTTTCTCCAAGACAGGGATTCTATGTATTTTTTGTTCTTTGTTTTACGCATTGCACAAAATGTCACTTAATATTTTTGAGTAAATGAATTAATCCCTAATGGCTGTTTCCTGGGCCAGGTATACGGTGGAGAATCAGTAAATACTGCATGAATGAATTTCCAAATATGGAAAGTTTTACTCAGACTGAGTTTATCAATTGAAATTGATACACACTGTTTCTCTGTGACTCCTTTAGTATTTAAGATATTGCCAGGGTGATAGAATCATAAATATAGGGCTAGAAAGAAATTTAAATCAACCAGAGGTTCTCTTAAAGTTTTATTATTGAGTAGCAAGCAGGGAACTTTTGATTTTACTCATTAAAAATCTTTCAAGTCATGTTGAATTGACAGTCTAAGAAAGCATTGGCATCTATGTTTTCTGTTTTGTTTTGTAGACCATACCTGATATTCCACCAAAGCCTGGAGAACTCAAAACCGAGCTTTTGGGACTGAAAGAGAGAGAGCACATTAAGCATGAACCTCAAATTTCTCAGCAATAGAAATTTCAAAATACAACTGTGCTAAGAACTCTGAGAATAATGTCTTAAATATGTATTTTTTTAATTTATTGAGTCAAACTACTTGTCCTTAAGTACCTACCAATGCCAACTTCAGAAAGAGGTACTATATTATCAGTAAATATTGACTGATATGGTGACATTTTTATATTTGACCAGACTCTATTGTAAACTGCCAAAGTATACATCATCAGCTTCTTGAACATGGTTTAGAAGATACTGAGCCTTGAATATAATTGTGCCTTAATTATAATGGCAGGGTGTCCTGCCATTATAATTCTGGTTTGTTTTTCTGAATAAGCTTCACTGCAGTGGTAAAATGGGAAATATAAAGTAAATATAATAAAAGTGATATTGGCAATGAATGCTTATGGAGTCTAAGTTAATTAGTTTCTAAATATTGGAAAGTACCATTTTTCGAATTTGTCAGTAGTTCAAAATTGACACAGATGCACTAAAATTGGTTAGGAATCACAGTCTTATTTTTATTAATGTTAATACTATTTTATTACAGTATTATTACTTTTTTATACAGTTTTATTACTATTATATAATTATTACACTGTATCCTGTATTTCAGTTCTTACAGGTATTTGACATCTGTAATGATGGGACAAAATGGCTTAAGTCAAAATACTTAAAATTATTTTGGAATTGTGTATGTAACAAAATTTGTAATATTTGTGATGGTCTTTCATAAGGTTCTTAACCCCCAATTGAGAAACCAGATTAAAATTGTCATTTACTTTTTCTTATAAAATATATTTAAAAATAACTGGAAAACTTAAATTTTGAGCATTATTATGGGTTGAATTGTTCCCAGAACAATTGTTGCAATCTTAGTCCTAGTACCTGTCAATGTGGCCTTGTTTAAAACTAAAACTAATACAACCAAATTAAGGTGAGAGCCTAATCTGATACTGCTGTTGCCTTCCTAAGGGGAAAATGCCATGTAAAGACAGACACAGGGAGAATACTGCACGACAAGAGAGACAGAGATGAGTGATGTGCAGTAAGCCAAGGACCACCAGGATTGAAGGCCACCACCACTAGGAAGAGGGATTATACAGAGCATGTCCCTGCAAATGACACCTGAATTTTAAATTTCTGGCCTCTAGAACTGAAAGAATAGTTTCTGTTGTTTCAAGATACTTATAGGTACCTTGCTAGATATGTCAGCCCTAATAGATTAATACAAATATTTCAATCTAGGGGCTGGGGATGTGGCTCAGGCGGTAGCGCACTCACCTGGCATGTGTGCGGCCTGGGTTTGATCCTCAGCACCACATACAAACAAAGATGTTGTGTCCGCTGATAACTAAAAAAAAATAAAAGTTAAAATTCTCTCTCCCTCTCTTTAAAAACAAACAACAAAAAAATTCAATCTCTTGAGTCTATAATATAGAGAACAAAATTGATAGACCAGTTGGCTTTTGTTCAGGACTATTTTTCAGAATTCTTCCTTTGCCTCCTTCCTAGCCAGTGAGCAAGTTGCTGCATGACATGGATCTCTGTGGTCAGTGATGAGGTCCTCCAGCACTAGGTTGCCTCAATTGGAGTGGCTTTGTGCAAAGTTGCACGTTACATTTCTCTCTTGTCCATCCAAAGGAGTGCCTTAATAACATCCAGTATATTGAACTGTCTCAGTGCCTACTGGAGAATGAATTTGATGGGGTATAGTTGGGTAGTAGAGCCTAGCATATGCGGGCCTTGAGTCCCATTGCTAGCATTGGGGAAAAGCAAGCCATCTCACTTATTCCTTAATGTAAACTTAAAACCAACTACCTATTTTTACCAAGAACTAAGGGAATATGATGCCTTCTCTGCTTCCTGTTGAAGTAGTAGTAATCTAGAATTTATAACTGTAGGATTCTGAGTAGCAAGTGTTAGATGTCACTCATTTAATACAATCAGATGGCTTTGAGTATAACATTTATTAAGAATGGTAATTCACAGTGGAAATAAACATCACAAGGACACTATGTCTTATTATGCCATGTTCCTCTATGATTAAGCTGCCCTTTCATTTCTTGTAAGAAAGGAAGGGCATATTTTAAAAAAAAGGTGCACATTAGCCAGGCGCAGTGGGTGCACGTCTACATTCCCAGTGATGCAGGAGGCAGAGGCCAGGAAAACCACAAGTTCCAGGTCAGCTGCAGCAACTCATAGTGAGGCCCTGGGTTTAATTATGCAGTTATCAAAACAAATAAAAAAACAAAAACAAAAAAACCCCAAACAAACCAATCCACCAAAACACAAGTGTCAGATGATAATTCTATACTATGCATTATGAAAATACAGGCAAAGTGGTATTTGGGATTTTTTATTTTTATACACATGACAAGATTTTACACCAAGAATAGTCAGTTAAATAGTACAAATTTACATTCATGAGGAATGTTAAAAAAAATTCAACTAAAAAACCCACTTCTTCCTGTGACCCACAATCCCAAAATTTTACAGTGCAGGGGAGAAGGGGGCTGGGGAGCGTCCAAAACAAGTCTCTCCCCCGCAAAAAAATGACTTAAATTTCACATTCTCTCTCCACACAGGATCCAATGGTGAGAGTATAATTTACAATTCGTCTTTTTCAGCTGTAGATTGCTGTGAAAACAAAAACAATAAAATGTTAAAAGCTAACAAAATCCCCAGTTTACAGAAAGGCCTTTCTTAAGACTGGCTGGAAAAAAAGAAAGGGCATTCTTACAGAAAAAATTTGCTCAAGAACTTCAATTTGATATCACTATCAGATGTTTCTAAGTAGATGTCTGTTAAGATCCTTGCTCTAGTCGTAGCCCTAACTTTGTCTCAACTAGAATTTAGTGAGAGCTAAAGGTGCAACCCCACTCTTGCTGACATACCTTTGCTGTTTCTTGTTCTTCTTCTTCTGTTCCTGCGTCCAATTCTTCTTCATCTTCGTCCTGCTCTGTGTCTTCGGCTGTGTCTTCAGCTGTGTCTTCTGGCTCTTCTTCTGGTTCTTCTTCCACCTAAGGACAACATCCATGAGCCCATCAATACCTTGGATCTAGTTTCATTTTGCTTTAATGTGTAAGATCACTCCTATTATTCAGAACCACAGAGTAAACCCCTTAACTAGAGTTAACAGTCAAACTAAAAAGGAGGACAGGTGAAAAGAAAAGGATATAAAAGAGGGGTTTTGCATCATTTATAGCATAATGCCTGAACTATGGGGATGTCAAACAGTCAATTATTTCAAAAAACAAATAATTTCAAAAAGTAGAAATATGGTTTGGGGTTGTGGCTCAGCAGTAGAGCACTCCCAAGCACACATGAGGCCCTGGGATGAATCCTCAGCACCACATAAAAGTTAATAAAGGTATTGTGTCCAACTACAACCAAAAAATAAATATTTAACAAAAAATAAAAAGTAGAACTCTGGCAAACTTTTCAAAGCTACCATTTTTTTTTTTTTTTAAAGAAAGTTCCAACTTCCCAACCATATTTTCCATCTTTTTTTTTTTAATATATATATTTTTAGGTGCTGACGGACCTTTATTTTATTTATTCATTTATTTATATGTGATGCTGAGAATTAAACCAGTGCCTCACACATACTGGGCAAGCACTTTACCACGGGGCTACACCACAGCCCCAGCTACCTCCCTTAATCATGCAAAGGCCCCTGCTTTTGGTGGTATTAGGGTTCAAAGGGTGTTTTTTATTTTTGAGATAGTCTTGCTAAGTTGCCAAAGCTGGCCTTGAACCTTAGCCTTCCAAGTAGCTGGGATTATCAGGGATGGACACTACTGGTGCAGGAGCCTACTCTTAGAAGAAAACCTATGTGGATGGGCACTGTGGTGTACACCTGATACCATGTCACCAGAAAAAGGATTGGGGATTCGGAGGTCAATTTGGGATACAAAAACACAAAACAACAACAAAACGCAACCAACTTATGTGGGAAGGTTGGGGATACAAACCTTTGCTTCAGGGTCAATGTTTAAACTGAGGCGAAGCATTCTTTCTATTCTATCTCCATATGCTTTAGTGTCTGGCAGAAGGTATCCTGACCGAAGAGTTGCCGTTTCAAACAAAACCACAGCAAGATCTAAAACCGTCTTGTCATCTTCATCTTCCTGAGATGGAAGAAGTTGCACTTGATTAACGTTTTCAGATTTAAGACAACAAAGAGGATCAGTGCAACATTACTCACTTTAACTCGGCGAAGCATGTCTCTGATCAGTGGATGTCTGGGATTAATTTCAAATGTTTTCTTCTGACTGGCATAGTAACTGTGAAGGGACAAAATGAACATTAACAAAACATCAAATTTTAGGGTTCATACATTTCTCTTACCCTAACCTTGATAATTACAGAGAATAAGTATTGGAAAAAATCAAAATGTATTTATATTACTCCCTTTTAAAGGCAGATATGCATGGCTAGAAAAAGTGAAATAAAAGGAAACTAATTTTGGGGCTGGGATTGTGGCTCAGCGGTAGAGCGCTTGCCTCACACAGATCCTCAGCACCACATAAAAAAGGAAGCTATTTTATATTTAGTCAAGAGTCCCAAGTACCTAAAGCAGTGCTGAGTGGGTGACCTGATTTAATGTCTGCACATTCCCTTAGTCTTACTACTGTAATTGAAGCACTGCCTCCCAAGTTTTGGGTGCCACTTGAATGATACTTTCTCCACAATGCCTTCATCTACATGGTTCCAAAATGAATCTAAGACAGGGAAGAACCACATCTATCCCTACCCCTGATATAATTGTTACCTATGTAAGGCTTAGGTTGTGCCTTGATCTGTCATCCTGACTAGTCTCAATGTCTCAAACACAGAAGATTTGTCTACTTCTGACTCACAGGCACAGTAAGTTCAATTGTTTGTTAAATGGAAGGCAACTTCCTGTTAATTAAACATTTACTGAAATGACACTATCAGAAGACATAAGTATTATATGTTGATGAGCCATCATGCCAAGTATGACTTCATATAACCTAATGCAAAAGTAAAAATATGTAGAACAGATTAAGAAAATCTCCATTTGTTTGTAAAACATTATGCAAAAATGCATGAGTTAAATGCCTTTTCTTTATCAATCCAAGGGGGAATCCCTTTGTAAACTTTCTGTCTACCTAATACACAGGCAGTGGAGGGCACTCAACGCTAGGCTCTGTATAGAAGCAGGTGTTTGGACAAAATCTAGCATGCTGGCAGGGCTCTCCCTCCCCAGGGTGCTTACTTGGTGGAGATGTCCTTGCCCGTCTGATATGCCTGGGCTTTCATGATCCTCTCCATGTTGCCAGACCATCCGTACTGGCTGGCCACAAGAGCACACGGAGACTCTGTCAGGCGCTGTGATACCACAGCTTTTTCAATCTAAGGGTGAGGAAAAAAA